AATACAGAGTTTTATGATTCAAAAGACTTCTTTTTTTTTTTTTTTTTTTTTTTTTTTCTCCTTAAGAAAATGACTTTAATGTATCATTTATATAAGCAATTAAAAGCTTTTCTAAGTAAATATAATTTTTATTGCATTTTTCTTTGATTCAGAACAAATTTTCAATAAATGGTGTTTCTGCTTAACAAAAATAAATGATTTAAATTCTCCCAGGGATCCTGCTTTTGACTAATACAAAGACCCTGGAATGTTAATTTATCATTTAATTTCATAAAATAAATAAGTGGGGCTAACAGATGTTTTGTTTTTTTTGTTGTTTTTTAAAACACAAAAACATTCATCTGGAAATTTCATTAAAATCAACAATTGTTTTATATTTGTAAGATTTTCCAAAACTTTTTTTTTTTTTTTTAAACTGAAAAAAGATGTTAATTTCCCAGATGTTGACAAAGTTTTCAACCAAATTTTGGGACATGCTAGAAAGGATGAAATAATTTTAATTAAATAATCTAAAAGTACTTTGGTCTCTCTCTTAATCATAAACACTTTGATAATGAAAACTTTATTTTTATCAAGTTTGTCCCCACACACACTTTTTTTTCTTTTCATGGCATGCTCTTTTTTTTTTCTTTTAAGAAAATTTTTGCAGGTACCTATATTACAGTCAGTGTCTCAATATACAGCTAAGTGGCATAATCTCATGGTTTCAGAAAAGGCTATTATATACTGTAACCTAACTTAATTTACCAATACACCTAAGTTTTGTAGCTTACAGTGTTTTGGAGTTAGACCTATATGGTATGTATAGGCCTAATTCAGAAATTTGAGCTAAAAGTTTTGGTGTACTTGTATAATGCCAAAGAATGCATAGAAGGGGGACTCTGCGACAACTATGATTCATCTTCCAGGATGAAGTGGTTAGCATACACTGTAAGATGAGCTCTCTATCTTTATACATATTAATGATTTGGTTTTAAGAACAAAGTGTGCCTATGATAATAGCTGCAGACAACCTAAACCATGATAAAACCCACTGTCAGTCTATATACTTTTGATGTCTTTAATTAACTGTTAGGATTGATGCACCATCTAGCCAATTCAAAAATAAATTTATTTTTAACCACATTTGATAGATCAACTGCAACTTTTCCCTTATCACATTGAGTGGAACTCTTCAGACACAAATAATGGGAAAGATACTGGTGACTGATTTAGAAGAACCATGGCAACCAGAGCGCTTACAAGTCACCAAGTAGCAATGAAAGGTGCAGAGAAATTGGTAGAAACACTCACAAAATTTTGATTTTTTTTTTTTTTTAAATCTTGCATCAGTGGATAGGCTATAAATTAGCATAGCAAATTTTAGTGTCTTTTTGTGATGAAAGACACATTAATTTGGAAATTCTTGCAAAAATTAAAAAATTGTCAGGACTTATAAATGAATGAAATTATTTTAGGAATTTTTTTTTTTTTTGTATTTCACCCCACTTAAATTTATGAAACTTCACAAAATTCAACAAGATAAGTTTTTTTTAATTATAGTAAATGCAGAAAACTTTGGAGAATTAACCCCCCTCCCCCACCACTAAGCTTACCAAAAATCTGCTTTGAATTGTAAAATAAAAAACAATAAAACTATGGCATTATTTAGAAAAGTTTTTAACTGCTTTTATGAATAGTATATATTAAAAAAAAATATATATTATAAAATAATATATATTAAAAAAAAAAAAAAAATTTTTTTTTTTTTTTATAATTAGAATAATGTATAAAGTTTTTAAATCTTAAAATCCAGTTTCAAAAGTATAATTGTTAGGGAATATTAAGTAAAACCATATTTACTAATCATAAAGCTTATTACAATCTGACAACATCTAGTAATTTTTTAATTGTTTTTGTATGTGTATAAATGTGCCAATTTTTGTAGCTATGAATAATCATACATGGCATTAATTAACTGTTAATATAAAAATTCTGACATACAAGTTGACAGTTTTTCTTTCATTGCATGTTGAATTGTTTGCATTGTAATTTCCTTTCAAAACTTTTCTCTTTAAAACAAAATTGCAATAACTGTTAATTAGCAGAAATGATTTTTCATTAATGCTTTGATCTACTTTAAAATTCTGCTAAATTATATCCTAAGTAGTAACTTTCATACTATAGACTTTTTCTTTTTTTTTGCATATTTAATTTGAGCTTTAATGAATTATGCCAGGAAAAATGTCAATAAGAGAGCCAATTTTTTTTTTTTTTTTTTTTTTTTAAATTATAATACACACATCATGCCTGTCCACAGTAATGGTTTGCTGTAACATGTGTCATAACACTAAGAAAAATACATATTCTTATTTGTATGAATGTTCATCTTCATGGACTGGAATCTTACTGATTATAAAACGCAGATTGTGTGTGTGTCTGTACGTTTATATATTGGATCGGATTTTCTACATTTTTCAACCGATTTCAACAAAACTTCACAGGACTACGTAAAATTACCTTGCAGTGGTTCTGACAGTGCCAAAACTTGAAAAAAAAAAAACAATTGTTTTTGCACCAAATCAATTTAACACGATTAAGAGGCATTAATGAAAGGGGGACAACTCATATCGAGTTATACTTATTGTTATCGAGTTTTACTCATTATAAAACCCAGGTTGGTTGTTTGTTGGTTCACTTTGTTTTTTGGCATGTAGTGTTTCTTATTATCTTGCACACTTTTTTTTCTTTATTTTTACATTCAGGATGCTTTAAAAATTCCATTTACAAGACAGTTGTTTATAATAAAATTCTATTCAATCGGTAGACTCATAACAATTGAAAACAATGTTTGAGTTTGGGTTTGACCAATTCGTAAAAAAAAAAAAAACACAAAACAAAAACAAATTAAGACATGCGTGTCCATCAACCTTAAACAATAATCTTTTATTTTTCAGTCTTTATTGATGCTCAATACTTGATCTATCTCTTACTGTTACATCCCCGGACAACGCTGGGCTCTACTGCTAGTACTAAAACAAAACGAAAACCTGACTTTTTTTTTTTTTTTTTTTTTTAGGTTATTCAAATAAATTGATGATTACCTGATGATAATGCCATGAAATTATTTTTTATCAATTATTTCCTGTGTAGTCAGTCATACAGTAAAATCACCAGTTTTTTTTTTTTTTTTTTTTTTTTTTTTTAGCTTGGTCTCAGTTGTGCCAATTTACAAATATTTCTGAATTCCATAAAACAAGGGGAGCTTTGCAATTTGAATCTAAATCTGCATTTTGTTTTCAGGCTTGTTATAGAAAACTTGAAAGATGTTAACCCAGACAAAAAATGCTTCCGGATGCTGGGAGGTGTGTTAGTGGAAAGGACTGTTAAAGAAGTTTTACCTGCACTAGTTAACAACAAGCAGCAGGTGAGTGGATTTGATTTTATCACTTATTAAAGTCTCAATCATTTGTAAGTCATCCATATAATAGCTAATTTTAATCAATTTTTTACTAGTCTTTTCATTTTGAATGTTGACCTATTGATATAATTTTTTTATTTTCACTTTCTAGATGGCCAAGTTAATAGAAACACTGAGTAAACAACTGGAAACTAAGGGAATGGAGATTAACAAATACAGAGAAACACACAATTTGAAAGTTCGTGAAGAGAACAGCACTGAACCAGAGAAACAAGAATCAAAATCTGGAACCCAAGGAGTTCTTGTCAGTTAAGAAATTTTGCCCCACCCTCATACATTGTCAATATTTTCCCTAAGATATTGAGTGACAACACTTATTTAAAAAAAAAAAAAAAAAATTAAAATGTACTTGATAGATTTGGCAAAAAATACTGATTTTTGAAAAATTGGTTCAGTTCTGTTAATGCTGATATATAAAAGAAAACAAAAACTTGTTTCGTTGCATATTTTTCCTACAGAATCTTTTCATGATTTGCCAATTTAAAAGAAAACTGGTACCACATTTCATAATTTTAGATAAATATTCAAAGTGATAAATTATACTTTGACTTAGATGTATTAATCTACTTATCTTTTATGAAATTTTATGCCAATTAATTAGTCAGGATGTGTACATGTCTGTTATCTCATGCATGCGTGTGTCTGTGTTCTAATGTATAGGACACATTCCAGCAACAATTTTGTTTTGAAACTTGTAATAGTTTTTGTTTTTTATCAAAATATAGCATGATTAACAATATTAGAATTGAGGTCATTTTACAGTCACACTTTAAAAAGCCAATTCAACTAAAAAAAAGAAACAAGTTTCAAATCAATCTTGAAAGCAAAACTACTACTACTTGAATAAGAATCAGGAAAGACTAGTTATTGTTCATGTTTTTGTTTTTTCTTTACTATTAATTATTAACAAAAGTGTTCTCATTAAAATGTACAAATTCATTCTGTTATAAGCAAAACATACAAGACCATAGATCACATTTATCTTCAAGAATTTAGAATGTATATCGAGTCTTCAGTGAGATTAGTTTCAAGTAATCAAATTTTTCTAGTACAAGTAAACAAATGAAGTTACTATATATATATATATATATATATATATATATATGTTAATGCATGCTATCTTGTGTATTTAATGTTGAAAATTTGTATACCAGCCAATTAAAATTCTGGCTAATAAAGGAAATCCATCAGTTTCCATCAATGTGTATTGGCAATGTTAACACAAAAAGTCTTTGGTAACAAATGTCTGAATTTTATAATTTTTAATATAACATTTTAAACTAAAAGATTAATTTGTCTCAGATATATATTTCAACATACTAACACCAACAATAGAATTTTTCTTTTCCAAGTAGTTTATTTTGCGAATATAATAAATTGTTGACAAATTCAATGCCAGAACTGGACTTAAATCTCATTTTATTTTCCTTCTATTACATTGATATGGCTTTGATGTAAAGGGAAAAAAAAATTACTGTATATTAAAACTAAAATGTAGTAGTTAATGTATATGATATACAAATATACTTTAATTCTTAAATTAATCATTGTCTACAGTTCGTTGTTGCTCTACTATTTGTTTTGCATTTGCCAAAATTTCCCTTCCATTATCTTTATCTAATAGTTTATTAGCTAATTCAACTCCCAAATCCATGGCAGCTTCTAATAAACAAGGAGAAATATGACCAGGAATAATATGTGCATAATGGATGCTGCCTGCAAGGGTCACCTGTTGGGAAAAAAAATAAAAAATAACAATTATATGTAAAAACTAAAATCCCTTTCCCAGATACAATTGTTAAGCTTAACCTTTGTATCAGCTATTCACACATTAATTTTGAACAATAATCCATCATGCCCATGGAGAATATTTTGAAACAAGTAACAGAGTGCACAGTCATAGGTAATTAATCTATCATTTTTGACAAGTACTATACCCATAATTAAGATAATCTATTTTAAAATATAAAGAATTTACTAAAGAAAGTTTTTAAAAAGGGGGGGGGGGTAAACAAAATAATAAATGGTGTAAACGAAATGTACTTAACGATCATGTAAATATAAATTAAGTAATGTTGATAAGATAATGTGGTGCTACATTAAGTGTAGAATATTTATCTTCCTGTACCAAGAAACAAGAGTTTAATAGAAACTAACTGCTCAAACATTCCTGGTACAGTTTGCAAGGATTATTTTTCCATGCCGGTCAATGAATTGACTTGTGTGTGTATATATCTCACACACACATGCTTTGAGGAAAAAAAGATTGCCATAGACAAACCAACTAAGCCAAAGTGGCTAATTACCTACATTTGACAATATTCGCATGTCCAACTATTATATCTGTAGCCAGTGAAGTGTACTTAACAAATATCAAGTGTACTTAACAAATATACATGTTTGGAAAATATGGTAAGATCTTTAGGGATCCAGATCAGGTATCACATATCCCAATGAGTAAAGTTGAACTCGTGCTATCATTGTTCAATTCATTACTTGTTCTCAATACTAATTTGGTTAAGTTGTTACTTTTGTTAACAACTAACCCATTTGAGTCACTACTAATCTCTGTGTCCCATAGGTTCTTTGACATCTTAATTGCTAATCAATTGCATTCCACACTGGATACACTAATCTGTATTTCGTTCTGGATATTCCAGTAATTTTACATTTTTATACACACTAGTGAGTAATTTAGAGTAACTTTATAAACGTCAAGTAGTTGCAAATTAAAAGAACATCGGCTTACTTTCTTTGAAGGAGGTTCTGAATCACAGGGCAATAATTTCTGACAAGTCTCCATGACACATTCCTGTCCATCTAGACTGAAAATAGCTCCAGTGATTGACAGCTGGGGAAAAAAATTAAGTAAAAGTCCAAGAGTTGTTTAGATTCTTTAACACATTTTTATTATCTTCCCACAATGTTTGATCACTGCTGTTACAGTGTAAACAAGGCCACTCTGCTAGTAGTGTGTATCAAAAAGGAACAAAGAGCGATGATCTGATTTCAGGCTGAAATTCATTGGAGGCTTTTAACACAATACAGTGACAGTACACTACTATGTGGAAGTGTGTAAGAGTGGATCAAGAAGTGTAAAAATGCTTGATGAAGTTGCAGGACATCCATCAACCTACACCACTGATAAGATTCAACAAACTCAAGAAATAGTAATGGCAAACCAGCAAGTTATCCTTGATGCACACTGTTGGCAGAACAGGCATGCTTACACTGTAACAGCAGCAAGAAAACTGGCGCATTCAAGCTCTAACTTCGATCATGTGACCATAATAGTAGAAACTATAAGAATTCATGAGCAAAAGGTAGTGTAACAAACCTAAAGATATGTTGCAATGAAAGTGCAGTAATTTTTTTTTCCTTTCAGTAAAACATCTTTTACTGAAAGGAAAAATGGGTTGTAAATGGATCTAGTTTAGTATATAGTACAAGGGTAAGTAAGAAAAAAATAAATTTTGGAGGAGGAATGGAAAGCAGCTCCGATTGAGGAATTGGAGAGCCAAATTAGAATTCCGGTCAAATCCATTGCATTCACTTGCGTGCTAATACCCTTGGGAAAGGTATGAATCCTCTTCTCCCCCTAGCTATGGCTAAATAGCAGGACAGACCAGTTTCCATAGCCTTTCTGCAGAAAGTAATGTCAACCTACTGCGGGGAAAAAAAATCTGCCTCATCAGTCATGTATTAAAAAATACAGGATTGCCTAAGTGTATATCATACATGGCACATAACTGACTGAAAAGGAAATATTTACATGTGAAAATCATGGAAGAAGTTGTTAGTATGAGATCCATTTTTCCTGTTCTAGATAAAAAAAAAAAAAAACTTACTTTTTCTTGAGTAGGTAGATCTACCAAAAATGAGTGACACATTTACTAGGATGTAAGAAGTGATCTTGAAGAAATGCAAGGCAAAAAAAAAAAAAAAAAATTGGTTTGGAGATCTTCCAAACAACCAAAAATATCCCACGTTTAAGTCTTCTACTTCTGCAACATCTATCTCAATACATGACCCTTTCATACACTGCAAGCTTGCTATGCTCAACCAAGGTTTATAAGATTGACTCTTGTGCTCATACTCAAAGTGATCAGATCATAATGAGAAAATGTACTATTTTAGCCATGATCAGTTATATAAGAAAAACAGTTGCAATTTGGTAGATCTGCCATTCTAGCTTTGAAGTTAACTGTTGAGAGACAATATATTCCAAACCAATTGCCAGGTGAGGAAAAAACTAAAACTGTTGAGGTAATTCACATCCAGCACCTAAAATCACATTAAGCAAAACACTATCACATTCAAGTAACAATGTGTGCATCCGAAGTAATCTTCATTATACCTCAATATCATGTCTTTTATCAAACACTTTGGTCTGCACTAATAGATCTACATTACTTTAATGGCATTTTCAAGCAACTCAAACTTGTACATGATTTGGATCTTTAACTTTGTATACATCTGAATTAAGGATTTGCAGTCACCTAACCCATTCTGACCATGGTAGTTCTTGACAATATGATAGTTTATCTTTCAAGCTTTGCAGATTGCTGCTTTGACTTGAATTATGTAAGAATATACTTAGGTTGCTTACATACCTCTAATAACATTACTCATATTCAGAACTTCTGTTTTCTTTTAGATGATAATGCTGCTGGCAATGATGGGAGGCTGTTTTTCTGCCAGTGGATATTGTTTGGTCTTTTTGTTCTTTCCTCTCTTCATAACTTCAATGAATGCTGCTGCTATCACTGCTAATAAAAATCATCATGTTTGCTACACCACTTCTGATGGCCTTTCATTTCAACTTAATTCTGCTCCTCCTCCTCCTGCAAATCTTCTCTGCCCCAGGGAAGCAAGGACATCTTTGAACCTTTATTAGAACTATTGCTGTTACTGCAAGTGAGGTGATAAACAGAATCCCCAGCCATGTAATCATATATAACCAGATTGAGAACATGTCCAGCAATGTAACTGTCAGTTATTCACTATAACCATCAATGGCACTTGCAGCAAACTAAAATATCCAGGACAACTTCTGAACTGTTTTTAATGACACACAGATGTTGTAATCTCCCAAGCACATCCCATAGTGGCCAACCTCTCTTCAACACTCAAACATGGAAAAGAATACTCCAATAATGTCAATTGGAATGTTGATTAAAAGAAATTAGAGTAATTTTGGAATAATCAATCTGCAACATTTTTATTTGTTCTGAGTGTAGGATTTGTATTGTAACCAGGCATATACACTAGCAAAATTCTATTGCTGTGAGCAGAAGCCCTGATTGGATCTTTATGGTTAATTCCTTGATACAACTCCAGTCATGGAAGTCCAGAGGGAGGTGAACCGGGTTGGCTCAAAAAAAAAAAAAAAAAAAAAAAATACTAAGTTAAATCTACCCTATAAATTGTACTTGAGGCTGTCACATGTGCTTGTTCATATCTTGCGTTCCACAATTAGTTTAGCTTGCAAGGCATTTCACAGAAATAACCAGGGAAGTGGTACTGGCCCTAAATTTTACATAACAGTTAAAGATTTTATCCATTCTTAATGAATCAGATTTGATCAAGCTTTCATTGTGAAGAAACATAAGGAATTTGTAACTGCTCTGCTTGACCATCAATTCCTTACAACTGTTTTTAAAACATCAGATTCAAACGAGGATTCTACACATGGATTAGTTTTCTCTACTGAGCCACTAGTGAATGGAAACCTTGGATTTTTTCAAACTTTTGGTCAAATTGATGATGAAAGCCTTCCTGGCAGAAGTAAAAGTGTAAATTCAGACATGGCTTCAAAAAGGTATTTATTCTTAACAGGACATAGCTTCAGCAATATTTGCTCTTGAATGAAACCTTTTCTCAGCTTGTGACAAGGCAAAAATCAATGGTTCAATGAGATTTGCATCTAACACTCATGCAATGGAGGTATGGAAATGCCACACTGCAAGTGTGAGGTTTGCTTTTTTTATATTGTATGAATGGAGAACTGTTTTGAGAGACATGCACTAGAGTAACCTTACCTACCACATGGCCAAGTCTTGTCATAAGCTTAGACAAGAGAAACTTTAAGGAGATTCTAGCTTTCTTGATCCAGTGACCTTTCATGGCCTATGAAAATCAAGATATCCCCTCTGATAGGACTGACTTGCTAGGTACGAATTACCTCAGCTACTTATGAATTCTTGCTCACCTATCCTAGGTGTCTCAATGCAATATACCTTCTATAATTTTGTAGAATCTGCCTGCTTTGGGATTTCATTAGTGAGTTGGTAGTTCACATCAGACTCAGTTCACTGATATGCACATGTATGACAATGCATGTCTCCTTCATGAACATGCATGAAACAATTTTGGAAATTTCTAACTGTGGCTAGAATGGTATTATAGAACATGTTTTAAGGAAATCTACTAGAACAAATCTTTTTCTCATGACCCAAGCATTTGATATAATAGGGAGATTAGTTTAGGTCCATGGAGGAAATTCAGTATTAGTGATTGAAAAAGAATGCCAGCTAAGGATGAATTTTGGTGGGAGGAATAATACTGTGTACTTGGATCATAAAAGGAAATAGCAAAATTAGCCTTTACTCCAATTCCTGTCATTCTGATGTAAGTTTAATTTATATTGGAATAAATATCTACCATTTTCCGGAAACAAGTTTAAAGATTCTAATAATCCAAACTGTTGGGATGACTTAAAATGTTATTAGCTAAGTCTAACATTAAAAATCAAAACAAGTTAATATTAACTTCATACTGCAATGTCAAAACTTGCCAAATACTTTTACAAAAATTTAATATGAAAAATATTACAGTAAGTGGGAATTTCTCATGAAAATAAGCATAATCAATATACAATTAAATATTAAAAATGAAGTCATGAAATACAAAAGTTATGAAATAACGTAAATAAAAATAAAAGATTACATTTCTATCTTGTATACTACTTGATGTACCAATTGGAACACTGCAACCACCTTCCTGGAAACAATACAAAAATATTTTATAAATTCTAGTTAAAACAAGTTACATAAAACTATACAAAATAATTATTTTTATCAATCACTTTTTCACATTGCGTTCAATGTACGAATAGGTTTCAACTCTACAATAGACATTTTTAATACTCCTCAATCAAAGGAAACTTAGACATTGATGCTTGCACAAATTTGTTTGGGCAGAGAGAAATACCATGAAAAATGTTTTAAATTTGGTATCAGTTACCCAAACATTATTTAACTTCACATGATCTTAAAGATAAAATTAATGACTGAATGTTTATTTGGTAAATATTCTAAGTCATCATAGATAAAAGAAATTTAAAAACAAGAGTTCCAACAGAAAAAAAAAGTCACTTTAAAAATCTGTTCCAATCAACTGGACTAACCAATTTGATCCAAAAAGAATGGTACTTGTGCTTACTAAAGTTTTCAGGAAAGCTCTCTCAGCAACACATTGGAGAACAGTTTCTGTATCATGGATAGGACTCAGCAATTCCTTAATCTTTTCATCATCTATTCGACATTGCATGGCAATGGCTCCTTGACTCACAGCATACAAGCACTCATCTTCTTTTAAAATCTAAAAAGATAAGACATTTAAGACATAGTAATAGAATCATTCATATATTGAGCTACCAAATGAATTTGATCATTTTATTAACTTAATTAAACAATATATATACTATTTTGTTCTACCATCTTCTAAACATACATAAATTCCATCTTCCCAGGCCATTATTATTTTTTTTTTTTTTTTATTATCTTTCTCAGCAAAGAATTGCTCACTGACTTTTGTAGCCTTCCCGTGAACTAAAATGGCTTTCATAAAGAGAATTCTATCAAGACTGGAAAAAATGATAATCCAAAGGTATGTCTAGTGAAAATAGCAAATAAATGAAAATTTAGCATTGTGGAGATGAACACACCTCTCCAGCATATGTGTACTGACACAGAGAATCATCAGGAGAGAGCGAGCCTTATATCCTTACTACAGAATTCAGTAAGACCACAACTCCAAGCAACTTCATATTTCATGATTGTGTTATCTTCATTCAATGGAATTATGACAACAGTGGTGATGAGGATTTGAATTCACACCAAAAACAAGAAATTTTTTTTCTCTTGTTTAGCATAAATAGCTGGTGAAGAAAATTCAAAATCAGCAGAAAAGAATTTTGTAGAGTTCATGTATATTCATAGGGTGACACAAAAGTTGATAAATTCCAAGGGTGTATGACATACTGCTATTAAGAAAAAAAACAAAAAAAAAAAATCTTTCTAGTTAAGGACTACTTGTACAAAAATAATGCACTATAAAAGAATTGAAGATAACTATTCCTCAAATAGTACAACAGATGCAGCATGAGTGGATTGAATATCAAGAACAGTTGAAGGCAATCCTGGAAAAGCAAGGAACTGGCAGTGCATCAATTTCATTTTCACTGGACTCAGTTGCTAACTCAATTAGTGAATTTAATTACATCCCAGTAGAAGACATTACATGTCTATCATACTTCAGAAGGCACAAGGATGGTCAACTGAAAAGAAAGTATGTCTGCTGTTACAAAAATTGTGCCTCACAGGACATGAAAAATATCTGAACTTCATTTTGCTGAATACCCCAGAAAATGTGGCCATTTAACGAAACTGTCGATATTATCAAAAATATTTGATGAAAAGAATTCATTTTTATATATACATTGGCAGTGCATGAACTTTACTAAGGACAAAGATTAAGATTTTGTTACATATTCCAGTAAAGTCAATGGTGAGTGTGAGAAATTTAAACTGGATAATTTTAACATAGAAGACATATTGAGGTCTAGATATGCACAGAGTAAACAACTATTACAATCTAATTCACCAATGGACATACTTTATGATACCTTTGAAGTACTTATTCCTAAAACTAATATTATAATACAAGACCAAGGTAAGTGATAATGTAATTCAACTGAAACATTGAAGTGGACCCATGTGAGAAAAATTATCATCAACTAAAGAAAGGTCATATCTAAAAAGGGGGTGTTGTGGAGATGAACACACCTCTCCAGAATATGACTCCTCCAAACAGTATATATACTGATGCAGAGAATTGTCAGGAGAGAGCTAGCTGGGAGCAAGCTTTATATCCTTACTACAGAATTCAGTAAGACTACATCAACTACAGGCAACATATTTCATGATTGTGTTATCTTCATTGAATGGAATGAAGACATAACACCAAGCCATAGCAAATTTTGTCTGATGAAATTTTATGCCTTCTTAACTTCTGGATACTTTTCATTGATTGCTATCTTCAACTGATCTAACTGGGAGCAATACTTATTCAAATCAATTGTTTAGTTCTCCAGAAAGAGTTCACAGTAGATAATTCCTTTCCAACCTCACCATATACACAACAAGGCTTTTTTTGAGAGATAGTTTATTTAGCTTGCATGAAATTGTTCTAATGAGCTCTCCTTGGCACTTTGACTGCATGAATTTAAGCATACAACTAGATTGGCAACTTGGTTTCATCATTTTACTGTTGAATTAGCTAAAATGTAACCATAAGTTCTGTTCTAATAGTTTTTCTTGCCTGTGAAACTCTTCTGGTTTCCCCCACCCTAAGAATAAAAACAGCATACAATATTAAAGATTTCAGTAGATTATTTCCTTGTGGAATAATTTGAATTTTAAAAAACTTTTTAATGCCAAAATGGAATGGTTAATAGTCATAACAGTGAAGAATGACTTATTTACATCTAGTTATTAGAAATGTAATATAGTTTTATTTATAATCAAATTATTAAATATCAACCACTTTTACAAAACAGTACTCGAAACAAAAATTAAAAAAAAAAAAACAAAAAAAAAAAAAAAAAACAAAACAAAAACAAAAAAAACTTCCAGACATGCTAGACACATTCCAATTCATTTAATATTTCCACTCTGATCAGAAATACTTACATGTGATATTCGATCTCCCCAGTTCATTCTCTGCAGACCTGCTGAAGCCAAAATAATTGCTGCATATTTATCATCATTATCAAGCTTTCTAAACCTTGTGTTCAGGTTTCCTCTCTAGTTACAAATTAAAGGAAGTATTTAAAGAGAATAGGAAGAATATTAAACATGCAACAACAAAGTTGTAGATAATTTTCTAATGCTGAACATTATCATACACATACATATGATATGGCACAAAGTCAAACTAATTTTCTACATTTCATCTGTACAGAATATAGTCGTGCTTATAATACAGCTAAAAGAGAAAACTGAGAAAATTTAATACCTGTTTTCATTGTAAACTACTGTCTTTTCTAGAAAACAAGGAAGTGCCACTAATCAGTAGAATGTTATTCAGGATTGAAATTACTGATACAGGGCATAATTGAAATAGGGAATGTAATAGTTTTTATGTACATAAAACAAAAATTAAAAATATTCTAAATATTATATACAAAACATTTGGAGGCAAATTAAAAGTTTGAATAACCCAATTGAAATATTTGAAGCACAATAAATATTCATTTCTAAAGTTAGACTTTACTTATAGCCAAGAATAACATTAGAACATTTTAAGATTATCCCATTAACTAGAATCTTCAATATAGATGCAGAAAATTATGTATGATTGTTGAAGATCAGAAATAATGTAACAAGAATTAAAATAGCAGTGAATTAGTAGTAGTAGCATAGATGATGACGATAGCAACAGTAAAATATAGCACAAGGATATATTCAAATGTTATATCAAATTTAAAAGGTTATGAGAATGTAAGAAGTCAATGAAAAAGGATACAATGCTTTCAAATTTCAAGTGTGGATATTTACGTTTCAGCTGAGCTATTCTGCGTAATGAACTGGTACCAACAACACTAGGACAAAGAAAAAGTTTCTGAATAAAAAGAGAGAAAAGTCTTCTACCAAAACTACATATCAACTGATTGTATCATTAAAGTAAAAAAGAAAAATTATTTTACTATCATGTAAAACTTAGTAACAAAAAAAAAAAAAAAAAAATTAATGTGGTTTAACAATGTAAAATATTTAATTTATGTTCTGTAAAAATATTTAGATAAACACAGATAAATAATATATTTTACCTTCCTTCTGGTAGTGATGCAAGATTTTTATCTGCATTGGATGAATGCATGACAACAGCATCATATGGACAGGCTCTTCTGAAAGAAAGAGAAAAATACTTTAATAACACATTTCTTAGTTGCAAATGTAAGAATTTATTTTTGAAATTAATTTTGCTGTTCTTTGTTGGAATGCAGAAGTAATTCTTTTGAGAGAAACATTTAGCTTGAAAATCATTGTAGCAAGTTTTTTTTCTTTGATTATACTTGTAAAAGGAATTTTGTAAGGTTTTGTATTAATTGTCATAAAATATGCATACACATACTTGGAAGATAGTAAAAAGTAGACTGCCATCCATGGACAGTAATTAAAAAAGGTGTATTACTTGACCAAATGGCAATGTAACAGAGCATGCAAGTTACATTTAAAAAAATATTCAATCTAAGAGAAAAGAGTGTGTGTGTGTTTTGCTTTTTTTTTTTTTTTTTTTTAAACCATTTCACTCCAAGCAAGGCAAGAAAGCTATTGAGATGCAAAAGGGAGTGGGAAAGAATATATGAAAAAGATTAAGGGGAGAGAACAAAATTAAGACAAAAGATAATGATTCATATTGCATTTAAATTTTTGAAAATCAAAGTTGACTGGAAAGCAAGAAGCCAGAACAGAGTTCCACAAGTGAGACATGCAAGAGAAGAAACTTAGTATAGAACTTATGCTTACATCTAGCAAGTACAACTGCAAAATGATGAGACCAAGTTGCCAATCTAGTACTGTGCTTAAATTTGTAAAGCCTAGGTACTAAAGAGGAAAGCTCATCAGAACAATTATCATGAAAATATTTATAGAAAAGGCACAGGAAAGCTATATTATGGTAGTGAGATGTGACTGAAGCTGAGATGCTAAGTCATTATCATTAACATTTCACTTTCTTTGGATTTTATCAAGAATTTCTAAAAACATAGCCAAAGCACCAGATCAGATGGAAGCAATATTCAATACATGGACAAATGGTTTGCTTATAAATGTACAATGTATATTCTGGTGAAAATAATTGTCTAACATGACATGGTGAACCAACTTTTCTAGCAGCAGACCTAACAATTGATTCAATATAATCTTTCTACTTCATGTCAACAGAAAACCTAGCCTGAGAAGGCACAAGGTGTCACTCACCTGGAGGTTAGCATCAGCCATGTTTATGGAAGGCAAAAAGAGTTCTTTAAGACAAAAAAAAAAAAAAAAGTTTCATTTTGGAGGCATTAAAATTTACAAGCCAGTTAACAGATTTATTTCATTTTTTTTTTTCTCATTAGATCAGCTGCCAATTTGACCTTATCATTCCAGACTTACTATTAAGAAAGTAGTAAATAGCTGTATCATCAGCCATCTGATAAGAATGATTGAATCAGACAAAAATTTGTCCCAAAATACCATAACCTATCAACTTTTGAAAACCAGCATGTCAAACACCTTCAAGATATCCAAAGCAACAGCCTGAGCATCACCATTTTTATCTAAAACTTGACAGACTTTCAGTAATAATCATTACCATCAGCAGTTGACCTCAAGAAGCAAAAGCAATACTGATTCTGAAAAAAGACCATGCGAAGTGAGATGCTTAACCAATTCAGAGTTGATTAGAGAGTCTAGTACTTTGCCATAAAGGCTGATAGAATGAACAGACGGTTCACCCGAGTTCTTAAAGACAAGACTTACAGAAGAGGATTTCCAAGAAACAGGAAAACAAAAAAGTAGGAAGGCATTTATTGTAAAGTTTAGAGAGAACAGAAGCTAATTCAGGAGCACATTTCATAAGGACTGTTGTAAGGATATCATCAAGTCCACATGCTTTGTGGGGATCCAGTTTAGAGATGATAGCAGAAATCATGGATAGAGTTATATGCATACTACACAGTATAGACTTACTTTTATTTAACACACACTGAAAGAGCCATCAGAAGTTATGAGAACCAAACTTGTTACAGGCTATATGGTCACTCATTCTGTCAATGAACAAATACTTAACCATTTTGATGATACATTTACAATTATTACAAGCAGAACAAAGATGCTTTTGTTGTGATCAAAATACCATATTGGTACAGCCATTAAAAGTGATTCCGGTGGACTATAGCAGCTGTGAACCAAGAAGGTTGTGGCATTTCTGAGAAGGCATAAAGAAAAAAATCTCAATGGCAATTCTCAATAGGATGGTTAAAGATATCACTACAAGGGGGTGTCATAAAGAAAATCACAGAATGAATGCCGATACTGGTAACAGAAAGAATGGGTGAAACAATACAATTTCTCACACATCTTTAGAAGATAAGTAGATAAATTTCTTTTAAGTCCACTTAGTTATCTGAGTTTTGTAAGAATTGTCTCCAGTTCATCTTTAAGTAAACTAAGTGTCAGTATTTTTGGGATATATGTCTACAGCTTCCTTTGAATTGGGACACATAAAATATTGTTAATGATTTTAGATAATCATAAAAGTAGTCCTTTGAAGAAGTTGACCAGCCAAAAAGCCCAATGGGTGGTCTCAAACTTTATGGAACACAAGTGGATGGATCGGGGATTGGGACCCCAGCCATTATCCATATAAGCAGAAAGAGGCAGGAAGTCAAAGAGAGAAGTAGGTAGGTGACCAGTGAGTGAATAGTTGCCCAGGCAGTTAAGGAGACAGCAATTCAGCCAAAGTAAAGATAGCTGGCTAAGTGAGATTCGTATTGTTGCTATTTCACAACCAGATTGTCTTGAAAATCAATTGTCATTATTTTTTGTTGAATATGATCATGACCAAGTGAACAAATCTGTGAGCATAGCAAAGTTGGGTGTATATGCAGATACAGCCAATATTGGATGTCACCACAGGTGCAGTGAATGACAGACGCACAGAGAATGTTATAACATAGGAAAGAATGCCATGTCAACCCAGGTAGATCATTTAATGCCAAAGAAGGTTTTTAGGTGAAAAATTTGAGTTATTTTCTTTTGGGAGCAGGGGATAATATAGAGGGAAAAAAATCCTTGGAGTTCTTTTTTCTTGAGAGTAGTAGGTCATATAAAATTGGTTACAAAACAATGTAAGTAAGAAAGTTTGGTAAAGAGTTTTTTTTTTTTAAATTTCAAAATTAAATACATAGATGATACTCAGCTTTTGTGCATATACATGTTTATGTAGACATAATTACTAGAGGCAGTGATAGGTGTGTTTTATGTTGTAGCCTTGTTGAAGTTATATTTTGAAATACAGTTTGATTTGTTTAAGAAATTGTAGCATAGTATATGGATTATTGCCATAAAAGTTCTTTCATGTTGTCTGGCTGATTTTGTTTAGCGACATATCAACTTCTATGGGTCATTTAATACAAAAATCTAAATATTTTGAACGTAATTGCATTCCCTTAACTACAGATAAAATGTATTGTTGCTAATTCTACTATGAATAGGTATTTCTATACTTTCATAATTTGTTTCACTATTTGTCCATAGCACCTAACAGGTGCTACCACCCCAGGTCAAGGTGGATCTGGGAATAACAACAATTAAGAGGTAATTCTAATCTTGCTGCTGGATGTAGTCTATCATTATACCCAGGACTATGTTGGTGGGTTATTTATGTGTGTCCTATACAAAGTCTGGCTAATAACACCTTTTTCCTAATTTTTCTGTAGCTTGGGTATCTTTGGTTGGATGTGTAATTTGTTGTTTTGAGAGTTATTCCATAATTGCTGCCATTTTTCTTCGATGGTTCTGTTTATGGTGGGTCAGAAGTCAGTGTGTAGGACCTTTATATCTTAGTAGGCTATGTTCAGTGATTTCATTGCCATTTTATCAGCTTCTCGGTTTCTTTGTATGCCAATATGGCTCAGTATACAGCAAAAGACTAACATGTTTTTTCCTATAATGTTAATCCTATTGAGTAATTTATTTATTAAGGGGTTTCCCATGTCTTTATTATTCATTGATGGGAGTACAGATAGTGAATCTAAGATAAATCTATCTCTGTCCCATTAGATACTATATCCAAGTGTATGACCGAGGCTTCTGTACTGGAGATTGAGGCTTTGCTAAATAATCATATCTGCATTGATAAGTATAACAGTGCATCCAACTCTGTCCAAGATTTTAGAGTCATCAGTGTATATGTGCTTATAATTTGTGTGTGCTTGTAGAATATGTATTTCTTCCATATAATCAGATGAATTGGTATTATCTAAGGTTTAACAGTATCATAGGTAGTTTCATTAACCAGGGTGAGTTTTTTCAGATGGTGGTTTTATGAATTAGTGCTGTATTTATTTGAGTTTTGCTGATGAAATTTTCCATGTAAAAGGCCAAAAAGTTTGTTAGCATTTTTTTCTCAGTTGAATAAAGATTTCTATTGTCAATAGAGAATGCAGTTGAATGATGGGTTGATTGGACATGATTGTAATTTGGCATAATACTCAAGTGTTACTTTTGTCCTCTTCACGTCAGACAGCTGGTGAGTGCAATTGGGCAGTAATTTGAAGGATTTTCCAAATCTTTACCATTCTAAGACGTAAAGAACAAATCAAATAAAGAAGCATGTTGGTCAGAATTATTAGGGAAATCTACCATTTGACAGAGAAATTCTGAATACTGGCAACATCATTATTTTAGGTCATTCTTATTTAGTACAATTTACTTAAATTAAATTTAGAAACATTTTGAACTTTTTTTGGAGAATATAAATATTGCTATCTCTTCAAAGCTTATCCTTGTATGGCATATGAGAATATCATAGAGGATTGGATGAAACTCAAGCTATATAACAAAGACAGGCTGTAAACAGATTAAGTTAAAAATAAAACAAGCATATAAACTCAATCATCATTTTTCAAAGCAATACATTTTTTCAACAGCCCAGACTTACTTCATAATAGCAGCAATGACCATATTGTCTGGCAAAGTGGTAGGGAGATCTTTCAAAGAATGTACAATGAAATCAATTTCTTTATTATTAAGACAATCTTCCAGCTCTTTGGTGAATAGATTCTTGGAAGGAATCTGCAATAGGAAATGAAAAATTTCTGATGAGAATAAAAAATACTAGATAAATATGCAACACTGAGGAAACTAGATATGAATATAAAATTCAGAAAAATATACGCAGTTGGTAGTTACTGTAAACAAAAAAAAGTAATAAATAAAATAACTTACATTAATTCTAACATAAATTTTGTAAAATTTAAATTTATCAACATTTTAAGATTTTTTTTATTAAATTAATATAACTGAGAAATTTTCAACACTATATTTCAAAGAAAATTAATGACCATGTTAAGAAAAGGGCACTAATTTTTTTTTTTTCATCAATTTTACAAGTAAAATATTGAACACTAAATAAGGCCATAAACATTAAAGTAAGGGGGGGGAAATTTATGTTCCTATGATAACTGACTGAATTTAACTTTTTAAATTGTCACTTTGTTACAAAAGAGCATATTTTAAGGTTATCCAGACAGCAACAAAATTACTTTAGTGTCAGTGGTTAATAACATGAAACAAATTTCAACTATATTAACTATATCATTATAGTCTATCATGCTACTTTTTTTTTTTGTTTTTAAACTGAATTACAAAATATGTTTAAAAGCAATAATCTGACTTTGCTAACAAGATACTTCCTCTGTAGCTAAATGACGGTTCCGTGTAGGATACAAGTTCAATGATTCCTGTCAAACGACATATTTTCTACAAAATTTCTCAAACATTTAGGCCAGTAAATCTAATTAATACTGTTTATTATAAACAGAGCATTTACTTAAATAATTATATATATAAAAAATAATGTATAAACAGAAAATATATTAAAATAATTATTAGCCCGTTTCATATATTTCCTAATGAGCAGGTAGCAGAACAGTTATTTTTGCAGAAAGTGAAATCAATCTAGGCTCCCTAGGAAAGAGTTTTCTATGTTAAAATTCTTTGCATATGCCTTCATCTGTAATCAGTAGTCTTCTATCCAGGATGTGAAACAGGCAATGTGTCAATCAGCAGGTATATAGAATTCTGATATGCTCATCACCTCCTCAAACATTTAACCTGATTCTAACTAAAAGATCCTGATCCTTACTCTCATTACAGCAAGATTTTCATCTTTCCACAAAACAACCACTTCTAGTCTATCTTTTATGTTGCTTATGCTTCTATCTGATCTTGATTGGGTTGTTTACAAAATTCATTTGCAAAATTCTAACTTTCAAATATTCCAAAACACAGCCTTTGTAAGTTATCTTGTAATCAAAATCACTTGTTTAACAAATTTAATTTTCCAATTGCCAACCATGCTAAGTCTAACACTACATAGGTGTAGTCCTATCCAGATGATCCTGTAATTCAAATACACTATAGAACAAGACTCAACCAACCAACCCACTTCACATCAAACTGGCACTGAACAAATGTTGTCCCAATCCAGTTGCCCTCATTGAATCTTTATTCAACTTGATGATGTCCTAAAATATCCTGAAATTTGCATTATGAATACCAAGCCTGGTATCTGACAGCCTAGATTAGGATGATGGACAGTATTCCAATCACCTGTTAAAACTGTATTTCTTGACACTGTCAGGAAGTGTTTGATCCACAAAAAAAGTCATGATACTGTCATCATTGGGTGCATGAGCCCCAATGAAACAAAATGTGTTATCTTTTATAGTAATATGAACCTTACACACAGTCCCCAAACAGAGAACATGTTAGTGACAAGAAATGACATAACTAAGGAACATTTGATCTGAATCTATCAAAATGTTAAGAAGGGTCAATTTTTTTTTCAAATGCCAATCAATATGCTGCAGACAAGATACAAGATTTTACAAATGGGTCTAAAACAGGGATCTTAAAGATCTTAGTGGATGAAGTGGTAGTTTGTTTCCTCGTTTTATTTTTTTTTGGAGGGGGGGGTCAAATCGGCATTTAAATTTTTTTTTTTTTTATCATTTGACCCTAGGCAAGGCAATAAAGCCACAAAGATGCAAGGGGTTGATGAGTAGTAAAGAATATGAGAAAAAGAAAACATTTTTAAGGAGAGAGACCAAAAAAAAGAACAGGAATTAAGACAAGATAACAATTGACATTGCATTTAAGTTTTTAAAGATTAAAGTTGATTGGAAAGCAAGAAGCCAGAACAGAGTCCCACAGGCAAGAATTGTGAGAGAAGAAACTTAGTATAAAATTTATGCTTACATCTAGTCATTTCAACTGTAAAATAAGATCTTGCCACCAATCTAGTAGTACACTTAAATTCATAAAAGGTACCAACGAGGAAAGCTCATCAGAATAATTACCAGGAAAATATTTATAAAAAAGGAACAGGGAAGCTACATAAAAACAGTGGAAAAGTGACTGAAGCCAAGATACTAGGTCAGGACCAATAATATTTCAATATCGTCTTTGGATTTTATTAAAAATCTCTAAATACATGGAAACACCAAACCAGATGTGACAGCAATATTCAATGCACGGACTATAGTAGACTCAATCGTGTGAGATAGATTCCAACAAGAAAAATTGTCTAGCACGACTCAATGTACCAACTTTCCTAGTTGCAGACCTAACAATTGATTCAATATAATCTTTCCACTTCATGTCAGCAGAAAACATTAGCCTGAGAAAGCCCAAGCGTCACTCTTCTGGATGCTAGCATCAGCCAGGCAAAAAATGTTCCCTCAGGTAACTGAAAGAGAGCAGTTTTATTTTGTTAGCATTAAAATTAACAAGTCATTTCTTGCATCAATTAGCAGATTTTATGTCACTTTTTAAATCCGCTACCATTTGACCTTATTGAACTGATCAAACTTGCTATTACAACAGAGTGAATAGTTGTACTATCAGCATAGATACAAAGTTGAGAACTGATGACATCAAAAAGGTTGTTGATGAAAATTAGGACCAGCATCTCAAACACCTTCAAAATATCCAAAACAGACTGAGCTTCATCATTCTTATCTAAAGCTTGACTGTTAACATCAGCAGTTGACCTAGAGAAGCAAAAGCAATACTGACTATCTACAAGTGAGATGCTTAACAATTCAGTTGATTAGAGCCTCTAGTACTTTGCCAAAAAATGGGTACAAGACTAATAGGCTGATAGAAGGATCAGACAGTTCACTTGAGTTATTAAAAACATGACCTATAGAAGAGGTTTTCAAGAAAACAGGAAAGTAAAATTTAGAGAGAACAGGAGCCAATTCAAGGGCACATTTCTTAAGGACTATTGCAGGGATACTATCAAGTTCACATACTTTGTGGGGATCCAGTTTAGAGATCAAAGCAGAAATCATGGATGGAGTTATATGCATATCTCACAGTAGAGACTTAGTTCTAATTGAAAGGTTAGGTAAAGTTATTCCACATGAGTCCAGAGTAGAATTAGAAGAGAATTTACAAGCAAAACAGTCTCCTTTATCAACAGAAGATATTAACATGCCAAAGTGAGTGACAATAGGAGTGATAGAAGATAGTGTTATTTAACAATAGTTAGTGCCAGTAGTCATGAAAAGTAAACTATATGGCACCTCTTTCTATCAACAAACAAAAACTTGGGTTTTTTAAGGACATATTTACAATTGTTATAAGGAAACACAAAGAGGCATCTATTTTGATTGGCACTATCATGCTGGTACATCCAGCAAAAAGTGATCTCTGTGTGCTAGAGCAGCTGAACAGGTAGGTGTAAACAAGAAGTGGATTGTGGTTAATCTATTTCTGAAAAAGGTACAAAATCATCAATTCCACCTTTCCCAAGAAGAAATTTCAGTGACGCAATACTCAATAGGGAGATTAAAAATATCAAGCTTAAAATGAAAAGTTAAAATTTGGGTTTATAATTGGAGCCATTTTTTCAAACAGCTTATTACAGATTTAGTCATAATATGGTAGTAATTCTGCTGCTAAGTAAATTATATTTTGTGCAGAAAATACATTTGTCATACAGCCATACAGTTAAAATTATCAATTCAACTAATCAATGTAACCCCAAAAAATTGATTTTGTTCAGTTTCATACATGTCATAGATATTATAGTCATTAGAAAATTCTGAAAATTTTAAGTGAAAATTCTTAACCATTCTCAAGATATCACAAGTTATAATTCTGCTGAATCAGCATTTTCCATCAATGGCCATTTCCATTTCCAAACTCAATGTTCTCACAAAAACTCCTATATCTTCTGATTCACTGGCCAGAAATTAATGAAATTTGATATCCTTATAGATTTTTAGTCAAGGAATCCAAATATCCCTTTAGAATTTCACAGAGAGTAACCAAAAAGTATTAGCGGTTTTCTAGTGAAAAATTTTTTTTTAAAAAATGAATATTTTTATGCAGACAACACGGAAAGATTGAAAAATATCTTCAGCTCCTAAAAGTAGCAAATAGTGGCACAACATTTGAAAACTATAGTATTTGGGGAATAAATCCCAATAAGTTTCATTAACTGTTTCCCAAAGCTACCATAAATTCTAGACCTCTTAATTTTTTCTCAAAAATTCCGATTCATGGTAATTTCATAATTATTATCTAATATTGACTCAATCTGCTGATGAATAAGTCCATAGGTAACAAAACATTGGGAAAACATTACACACATAGTATTTGGGGAATTCATTCATTAAGTTTTAATATTATTTCAATTTTTATTGGTGTTTAAATATGCATTGCAAAAATATATATATATATATATATATATATATCACCCAGATTCCTTACTACCAATATCACATGAATCAATCATGTCTACACTTAAGATCTGGGAAATAAAGCTGAATTTATCAGAATTTTCAAGCACTGACCTCCTTTGAAAATTTCTATAAATGTGTAAACTTGAAAGGTAAGTATAATCTAACAATCAAAACAATGCTAAAGTAAGTAAACACATCTTAAAGGAAAGGTGACATAATTTACATTTAATGATTCAAAAACAAACATTACTCTTGAATTATTCCAGGCTCTGTAATTGGACCAAGAGAAATTTCTTGTAACAAGTTCTTATATAAAAGTGTATGTGACAACCACAGAAAGAAGTTAAAGAAAAATGCTATAAACTGCTGCAACCCATTTGCTTATCACAAAAGAAAATCAAAGGTGATTATTTTTATCTTGATGATTACGATGCTTGAAGTCATGTGCACATAATTCAAATTTATTTTTTAAAACAAATAATTAATGGGGGTTTCAGGTACCTTTTTTCTTTGGCAATCAGCAGCAAAATGACCAGTCTTTCCACAGTGTCAGGAAACTGGTTTTCTCACAGTCACTACAACTTGGAGTTTCCAGCCAGCAATATTCATAAGATGGGAATGGCAATGAAAGCTTTACAGTCAATCATTAAATTAAAACAATTCTCTATACACTACCAAACAAGATCAATCTACTCCTAACAGATTGAAAAAAAGGGTTCTGTTTGAAATTCCAAGATTTTAACAAGTATGACAACAACTGATGTGGATGAAAGTTGCAAAACCAACTAAAATGAACATGTTAGTCTAAACAGCAAAGTAATGATTCAATATGAATTGGAAAAACAACAAAAGCAAACATTTAAAATTGTGTATTAGTTGATTAGAAATGACCATATTCATAGTAGTCTGAAAGTTAAAGAAAGGAAGGAAACATTACAAGCAGAAACCAAAAAGTTTTTTTTGGTTTTCTTTTTAAGAATAAGATGGGCAAGAGTATCTTCTGGTGTAAGAGGAAGTGAGGGTTTGTTTTTATGAGTTCAAAGTGCTATAATTGACAATTTTGAAAAGGCTTTATGCTAACAAAGTTCTTTTTTCCTTTAGCACTACTTTCCATCAGGTGTGAAAATCTAGATTCAGTCTGCTCATTTTTTCTTTCTTTTGACAGACCCATTTTACACTGTTGCTTTAAACTTTGCATCATTGCTCTAGTTATCATCTTGCAAAACTTTGGCATGGCCACTATACATAAAGCATACAAAAGCAAGATAAAGAATAGCCACTTACTTTGAACAAAGGACTGGTTTGCTGTTTATCTCCTTGTGTGTCTTTGTAGACTTCAAAATAGAAAAAAATTATTTCATGTTGTATAATTAAGCTCTCTCTTGTATATATATATATATATATATATATATATATATATATATATATATATATATATATATATATATATATATGTATGTGTGTGTGTGTGTGATTTAAGCACTATTAAATTAAGATATCAAGTGACATGAAAAAAAAAAAAATCAGATAGCATGAAATGATCTGGATTTTACAAATAAGTTAAGTGTGAAAAGTCTAGATAGCCAAGGTAGATAATTTGAACTTTACTTGTATACCAGAAGTACCCAATGCTCTCATTTTTTCTTAGGTCAGAGTTTGCCATTTTCAGGGAGAGAGTGCGATAGAAAGAGAGATTTGAACATGGATTGAGATGTTGACAAGATAGAAGCCAGACATCTGGATGTTTCTCTAAGGGGATAAATTGTGAGAGAATATCAAAAAGAATATCTTGAGAACCTTAAAGAGAAAAAAATTACATTATGTAAGATACAAATTTAAATTATTTTTCAAATTTGATCAGCTTGAGGAAAAATCATTTTATGTATCAATATTACAAAATTTTCAGTATATGTGACTAAACATCTGTGTAAATTTTAGATCAATTTTACAAATCGAATTTTTTTTGTACATGCCCTTGTACAAAAAAAAAAATCTGTTAATTTCAATGCAATAAACTATGTGAAAGAAATGCAGATATTAAATACCACTGATTCAAGTGCAATATGCTGGCCCCACAACTAAAAGACTGTTTATGAATGTGTTTCAGGTAAACAGGAAGCAATAGAAAAATCAAAACAAAGTGCATATCTATTGCATCCCTAATTTGTTTTTGTAATCTACCATTAAATAAATTAAGTACTTGTATAAAATTTATAGTCTTACTGAAATTTTTTAAATTCTGAGAAAACATTACCTTGTTAATGTGCATATATCACTGAAGTGGGGGGAGTGCATTTTGTCCTTACTTTGTAACTGATTGCACAAAAAAGGAAAATGAAAGCAATAATTTATTTATAACCAATGATTCAATAGGCAAAACACAATTTGTACTTCCTTTCATGATTAGCACGATCAAAAAATAGAAAAAAAAGGTAAATTATTTCTAGATATAAAATTCAAATATTACCTTAGGACATGGTACAGTACATGATTTTAAAATACAGTAAAATGGACAAAGTAATTTGTGTACAAATTTTTAAAAAAAGGTATTTATTAATGACAACTCAAATTTTACTATCAATAGGAACATTGATAAAAGTTTTATCAGTAATAAGTTTGTAAAGTTGCTGAATATAAAAATTATTCTCCCACATGGCTTTCTTCCATGAGTGAATTAATGCATTAACAACTTTCAAAACTAAAACACCTATTTTGTTTGGTCAATTACTGCCTATTGAAAATTAGTTGTTTACTAAAAATAATGAAAGTATACTATTGTTATGTGTAATAGTATTCACAAGTCACTTACAATCACTACCAACCCAATTTGTTCCAGTCATGACGACTCAAGCCTATAAGAAAGTGTCTTGTTCATAAGCAAATGATCAAACACCCACACCCATACATCACATCATCTATGATACAGAGAGGTTTCATGCTCCTGGTCAACAATTCACATCCTTGAGGTTTGGTTCCATTTTCAGGATTTCCTTGTTCTATTTCTCAGAGACATTGATCTGTCTTGTGCTTTTATATTCATGGCTATCTTCTCTCAATTGATTTTAGAACATTTCTTTATCCATTTCTACATAATCTTGGGATCTTATTTGATCTGCATGACATGGGCTAGTATACAACTCTCTTGTTTTTTTATTATGTTTTTTTTTTTTTGCATTAGAAAATATCACATTCTTTTATTTATAGAATATGACATTATTAAGGGATCTCTAATTTGTCTTCCAATAAGTGCTGATGGGCTCTCTTGTCTTCCAGTGTGCATTATGGTTCAGTAACTGAATGGTCTCAGTAGGAAAATTTCTTATTTTCTCTTTTTGCTGCAGACATGCTTTTAGGCCCATTTTTTATGGTTTGTACCACACTTACCACTATATGATTTGATTGAGGGGAATATGGAGGTGCCTTGTAAGACCTACATCCTATCTGTCATATCCAGGAGTTAAGTTCTTCTTTGTAAAACTCAAGCACATTGTCAGTTACCAAAGTTTTGTGGATTCCATTTCTTGAAAAATATGACTTCTTTTTTTCTAATACAGAAATTATTTCAGGCCATCCTGAAAATGCATCTATTGATATTAAGACCCCTCCCCTGATGCATGCAGGATCAATGTGAGCTCTGCTCTAAGGCTCTCTTTATTTTTTTTTTTTATATATGGGATAGTTTTTTTATATAATCTTCCAAATCTCTTTAATATCTCAGCCACCATGCTTCTAACTTTAGCTTTTTTTGTGTGCCATCATGTACATTCTTCATTAAAATCTTTCTTTGTATTTCTGAAGGTATCGTGATTGCAAATTACTCCCTTCCTACTATCAGATTGTGTCTTACTTCCTTGTAAGATCTTTCAGCTAGAACAATTACCCCGTCTGTTCTTTCTAATTCTCCATTTTATTCAACTTAATACTGGGTCTTGCATAGTTTCTTCAGCCATTCTCGCCAATAATAAAACATCCAGTCTCTATTCAGTGTAGAAATGTATCTTCAAATTTTTCATCAGTTCTCATTTGAATCTTTATAAAATAATAATATTGACAGTGCATCTACATGTGGTATTGAATTACCCATGACATATTCTACATCAATACCAAAGGCCATTAGACAATTCTTTCCCTGGAATGAATATAAATTCTAATGGTCTATGATCACATAATAAAAAAAATTTTTCCAATTGATAGGCTCTCATGGAATTATTGTCCTCAGCAAGAAATTCTCAGGCATCAAGTAGCCCTTCTCTGCAATGTACACAGGGTTTGATGGGTAAATTGTCACTATTTTATATTTTTGATTTCGCGCATATGCATTGTTTGTTTCGGATTTTGTCAACTGCACAATATAGTAGGGTCAGTTGGGTGCTGTTTGTGAGTAAAAGAGCACCATGACACAATTCACTCCACCAGAAATTGGGAAACGACATAACTGTTTGGTATTCGCACCAGAAGCCCCAATACAAATAAGCGTTTGAATCTCAATCTGAGGACAGTGCAGAGGATTCAGAAAAAGTTGGGTAAGTCTAATAGTGATTACAAAGGTGTTTGGAGTGATCACTATTGATGGCGCCATTATGCCTCCATTCAAATTCCCACAGGATCCTAGACTCAACAAGATGGCCTGTATCAAGTGCCTTGAGAAGGTAGTGCTGCCCTGGGTCAAGAGGGTGCCTGTTGAAAAACTATGTTTGGTAACAAGACTCTGCACCATGCCACACAAGCAGAAGAATGCAGTCAATTTGCCTTTCCTTAACTAATCATTTAAGGAAAGACAAATTGGCTCTGTATCAGAAATAGGCAAACCTCTTCAAACGTATCTTCGCAAAATACATTTACAAGGAGCTTCATATACACTAATCATTAATAATGGGTGTGCTAGGCAAGAAATAATATTTTCTGTTTACATTTCCTCATTTCAGGCATCATTATATCGGTGATATCGTAACACCTTAATACACGGACGAGACAAAATAGTTGAAAGGAACAACAAACAAATTAATATACCACTGTCATGAAAGAAATTATATACAGATATATAAATACTTGTTACTAATTTGTTCCACACAGGAAAATTGCAACATAGGAATAAAACAATCATCTTATTTCCTCAATATGGATTGCAGATATTTGGCTCATATCTCTTTCAATAAATTTTTCAAGCAATCTGAGCCAGAAGGCTTTCACGGATTCCATGTAATGTTCTAGGGGAGACCAGTAGAAAGACTTTTTATTTTCCTATAAATGGAAATTGTCACGCTTTGTGGCACATTGAATCTTCATGTCTTCCTTCTTTTGCACCCAAACATTCACCTTTTTTTTGTATAGACAGTAAAAATATTAATTACTGATGCTGAAAAAGCACACAATACTGAGAATATATAGGTAAATTTGTCACATTCAGTTAAATACAAAATTTGGTATAATGAAGTAAAACAATGACAATTAAGTTCAAATGAAGAGGAACCCAAGTAAAATATCTATTCACTTAAATCCCCATGAGAAATGAAGTTGAACTCTGTGTTAGCATCAGGTTATAAAATGCTTTAACGTGATATTTGCCAATTTTCTGTCTACGGCTGCTGTCTCTAAGGATTAGAATTAAGTAGGTTTCTTTTCACTCCAACGAAATTTAGTGATGGGAAATGACCCAGCAAGTAAAACAAACGAAAAGAGAAGTAGAATAAATACAAGCCTTAAAATTAGTCACATAATTATGACTGTTGAGATTCTGAAAGAGAAGAAAAAAAAAAAAAAAAAAAAAAAAACGATCAAGTTGAACATTAATGCAGGAATAGTTAAAGAGGCATAAAAACAAGGAAAAGGGTTCTTTTAAAAAAAACTCGGCAAAGGTCGAGGTGTGTGCTTATAAAAAGGATGAACAAGAAGAATGACCAGACAGTCAACTCTCCAAAGAAAATGTTTTCTATAACTTTTTAGCTTTAAAACAATGCGAGGTAAATTAATTTTATTTTTAAGTCTTATTTTAAAATTATATTCAGCAAAGGATAAATTGAAAAAAAAAAAAAAAAAAAAAAAGATTTGAATCTTGTTAGAATTTGTCAATATTAATTGTTCTATTGTTTATTAAATAAACTTTGAAAAAATAATTTTTCTCTTCCAAGGCTAATATTTTCATAATAAATTATTATTATCACCTGCACAATTTCAAATCAAACATTGAACATTATAACATCAACATCCATCATTCAATATCTCCTAATTTTATAAAAAGAAAGAATTATACAGTTTTCCTACTTAATTATGCCTGATAAGTGGAAATTAGCCATTAATCCTTAATCATTATTTTACGGCCGTTGGTTAATCAAAA